TTGAAGTACGATAGAAAACGGATCACCTAGAAAACACTGTTTTACAGTACATTGGAGTTTCTCATCGTCATTTCACAGTCAGCCCTCTTGTCGACCTTTATCGACCGCGTTAATAATCTGTTTCTCTACTTCTGAAATGTAAGATTTGACAGAATAAATCTGTTATTGCCACGTACGCTAGTAGATTTCTTTCACGAAATCGTTCAAATAACACATTCTTGCACTGCTGGGATATAATTGGACAGCCTGGGCCAAAAATAGCAATGCTGCTGTTTTTGTGACAGTCCAAGATTATACCAGTTCTAGCATCGTTGACTTGTTAACATTGCGCTGGTAGGATGCGGCTCATTTCATGCTTTCCTGCCCTAAGGCGTCACAAAGAATGGAAACTTTGCTTTCATCTCAAGTGGTCCTAGTCTGGAGTCGTGCGAACGGGATTCCGGTCTTCAGCTCTTCCATGCTCTGGGAAAGATCCTTTACGCCAAACGTAAGTCAACACCTGTTCAGATTGATTATTTTGTTTCCCGTGTTTTCTGTCCTTTCGAGGATGCTTTGTACCGTCCCCCCTCCGTTTGCGGTACGAGTTGATAACATTCCGGAAGTAAAAAATCTCAGCTGTCTGGTTCCCTCCCTCCCCTTTTCAAATCTTCGAGGTCCGTCTTGTGAGGATTTGGTGATACCGCTCTCCCTCTTACGGAGCTCTGTCGCACTGTCACTTGTGCTCTATACTTATCTTTCTCGTATTTTTCTCTAAGCGGCTCTCCACAGAACTCCATCTCTCTTTAGTATGGCGCCAACTTAGCATACGAGTTTTTATCTGTTTTTTTTTATGGGTGCAATAAATTCGTACTCAGTATGAAATAACAATAGGAAATTATCTGCCAGAGTTTCCTTGACCAATAAACTTTTCTTTTTCTACTAAAGACCTTGTTTTCAAATCGCCTCACTCTCCTGCGCGTAGGATTTCTCTACATAACACTGGCATTGCCGATCTGCGAAGAGTCGGGCATGCTTTACCTACAGCAAGTCATTTAAACGAGCTTATCCACTGCCTGCAGAACCAATGATAACTTCATATGCAAATGATTTTGCTATGGTGTTATTAGTTTTTTTATGTGTGAACTGATTCCGAATTGCAGCCCGCAGTCGCCTTAGCTCTTGACAGCCTTCTTGTCAACTCTTTCTGTTTGGGGCTAACCCAACTGTTTGCCTAGAATTTAATTAGTGCCTTGTCATTTCGTTGTTAGATACTAAGACATGGTGATAGGACATACGACCGAGATAACGCCATTTATTTTCTTCTCTATGACACTCAATATTTGAAAAAAAAACTGCTCGCACATATTCATATAAAAGTGAACTCGAATTCATATCAAAAATACTACGTGTTTTATTCCTCTTCGTATTTTGTCGGTATAG